ATTCCTCCCACTACAAGCCATTCTGCTATCCCACACCTATGGATCAAGTACTATATAACATCTAATGAGAATGTAAAGCTACAATTTAAATATATCAAGGTATCCTAATTCCTGTGAACAAGGTAGGATTCATTATCACTCTATATTCAGGAGCACTTCCCAGATTTCCTTTGTCAGATTTATAAACTTGTCTATAATCAAGGGTACATTTTTCTATGCTTCAGTTTTCTAAGACAAAGATGAAGAGTCACATATCTACATACATTCCATTTATTGCAGAAATAAGTTAGTATTCACTACTATTTTAACTTCCCTGGAAGTTGTCAAGTTTACTACATATAAAACATTAAAGAATCTTAAGAAAAAAAGGTCCCTGAGTTTTACAAGTTAAAAAGCCAATCATGTGAACAAAGTACCTTTCTATCAAACTCTCAAAGTACTTTCCAATTACAACTTCTCACCTTTTGAAAAATCTATCCTTTTCTAGGTCATGAACAGCAACAATGCTGCCATCCTACAGGTGGAACAAATAGGTCATGCAAGATCATAAAGCAAACCAATGCAAAAATTGAGCCCAGAAGCCCAAGGTCAGTGAGCTTTCCTCTGTATTACAAACATCCTTTTCTAGAATCCTCGACTAACAGACTGATCTCTTCATATGTAAATAAAAGCTGCTATAGCATGTGCCTTTAAACTTTTCAGGGCTTTAAGCCAAATGCAAAGGGATAACAAGGAAACTAGACAAAACATTTTTAAATAATTTGTGGCCCTGATCTTCTTTTTATATTAGCTTTGTAGAACAGGAGGCACACAAAGCACTTGTACTATGAGTCCTTCAGCTAAGAACAGCTTGAAGAGTGATATTTTAAGTAGTTACTTCTTAGCAAGACTTCTTCTAAGAAATACTCTAAGCCTTTCAAAGTGACACCAAGAGGCCAACAGTGGCTTTAAAGAAATTTTAACAAGAGCCAAGCAGCACTAACTTTAGCTACTAGAAATCAATTACTTTGAATGGAACCAATTCTATATAAATCATAAAGATGAGTACATTCTTGTACATAAGTAGTGTTTATCCTAATGACTCACACAGATGCACATGTGCCTAGGTGCCCATATACACAAAAAAAACAAATAACTGCAACAAAAAGATACTATGCCTGGCTTAAGTCATGCAATTTACTTTTAGTGTTTATATGGGTAAATACTGGTTTGCCATTTTTTTTTTTTTTGAGACAGAGTCTCTCTCACTCTGTTACCCAGGCCAGAGTGCAATGGCACAATCTCGGCTCAATGCAACCTCCGCCTCCTGGGTTCAAGTGATTCTCCTGCCTCAGCCTCCCAAGTAGCTGGGACTACAGGCACACACCATCACACCTGGCTAAATTTTGTATTTTTAGTAGAGATGGGGTTTCATTAAGTTGGCCAGGCTGGTCTCAAACTCCTGACCTCAGGTGATCCATCCACCTCAGCTTCCCAAAATGCTGAGATTACAGGCATAAGCCACTGCCCCTGGCCAGTAAATACTGTATTTATACACACTGCCTCTCAGATGTTTCATTGCTAAAAAGGAAGAACATTTAATGAAGTTAATTAGAAGCTGTGCTTTATTATTATAGAAGTGTATTTTTGGTCAGGCATGGTGGCGCACACCTGTAATCCTAGTGCTTTAGGAGATCGAGGTGGGTGGATTGCCTGAGCTCAGGAGTTCAAGACTAGCCTGGGAAACATGGGTGAAACCCCTCTCTACTAAAATATTAAAAAAAAAAAAAAAAAACTAGCCAGGTGTGGCAGCTTGCACCTGTAGTCCCAGCTCAGGAGGCTGAGGCAGAAGAACTGCTCAAACCCAGGAGGCAGAGATTGCAGTGAGCCAAGATTGCGCCATTGCACTTCAGTCTGGGGGACAGTGCAAGACTCAGTCTGTTTTTTAAAAAAAAAAAAAAAAAAAAGGCTTATTTTCATTTTTTCTTTTGTGCTGTTCTCCCATTGCTGCAAAAAATCATCCTCTTAATCTGTACCTATCCAAAGCCCAACTAAACTAGAAGATGTAGAAGATGATTCCTAAGGAATATACCTCCTCCTCCATTAAAGTCTAACTTGTCCTATAGATAATGATCCTTCCTTCTCTGAACTCCAACCAGACATAGAAAAAAATTTACTTTCTGTTTACATGTATATTCATTGTTTGCTCAGCTAATGAAAGAAAGAACTTGCATACAGAAACCTCACTCCACACTTAGTAAATGTTTCACCTCTCAATTAATTTACAAATATTGGCTTCATTTACTCTAATTAACAGCACATGCTTTGCTGCTTTGCAGTGAGCGCAAGCCAGCTAAGAATTCTATCACTTAATAGATGTGTTACCCTGGGCAAATTATTTTGTCTCTCTTGGCCTTTTTCCTTATCTGGATAATAGAACTGTCCTCATAGATTTATTAACGCGATAATGCATAAAAACCCCTTAGCATCTACCTACGGCTGATAAATGGTAGTTATTACTGTTACTTGTGAATAGTGGAGAAAGGAAGAATGACACAGCATTACTACTAGAATATGCTGTTTTGTTATTAACATATGCCTATATCCACGCCCAAGGAATTATATACATATACCCCAAAAAAAGGCATTTCTGGAAGAAAAAATGATGAAAAAGAATTTAGCACTGTCAACTTGCCATTTAAATAAAATTTACCTTCTACTGAAATTATTTGCTATTCAATTAAAACTAAGCATTCAGCAATTATAAACTGTTGCTCACAAAACAGTAATAGGGCATTATTCTTATTTTGTAT